GGACGGGGGTTAACCGCGGCCCCGGGCCTCCCCAGCTCTACCGCGATATACTGCCTGCCGAGCTGGCTTCCGTTAATGTTACGGTCGTTACGCCGCTTGGGCGATAGTTTTACACCGGGTAAGAGAAGCCATCTCTCCCTGCGGTCCTCTCGCAGCGCTGCGTTTGATGCATTGCCACATTATGTTTACAATAGACCCACTAGGGTTTATGGCATCTGATTGTCAGTGGTCCCCTCTGGGTTCTCTACCTCTTTTTGCAGCATCATTACTACCTCATTGACTTACTGTTTGGGGCTCTGGGACTGCAGAGCTTTGACACAATATATCTCCTCTTTTTTTTTTATTTCTTTCCTTTTCTTTTTTTTAAGTTTTCCACTAACCTACACAACCCCAACTCAGGTGGAAGATAGAGTTACATATGTAGAATTGCAGAACTTCTAAACAGTACCTTCCTTTCCCTCCTTTCCCCGCAAAATCCAGGAGGGGAGAAACATGAATGCGGTAAAGAAGGCGCTACGAAACATAGAGCAGAACTACAAGCTCTTCCTGCAGCAGCAGTTTACGTTTGTCGGAGCACTGCAGCACACCCGAGAGAACGCACACGACACCATCAGACCTGTGGCAAGCATCAGCCAGGTACAAAGTATTCAGCACAGGGTTCTCTGCCAATAAGAACAGGGACCAACGCACTGCTGTCACACACTGGGGATGAATACACATTTTTACTAAGGGGAGATGCACAAAACCTCTCCAGTAACATTTGCGTATAGCTCTGCAAACCAGTGGCAATAGATTAAGTAGGGGAGAGAAATACCTATGTCAGGCCTTCCCATTTACAGAGAAGGAATTTTGTTGCCGAGTATCACTCTATGATTGAGTTTAATACAGTCATTTCACTGCCAAGGCATCGCTAGAAATACAGGGTACAGGAAAACAATCAAACCAACCCTCCTTCCCCAGCCACACATGGAATCTGTAATCCTTAACTTGTAGTAACCAGCATGCTTGCCTCTTCCCCCTGGTATTGGTGCTGCAGTATCTTTCTATAGTGCTTATTAAAAATAATGGCTGTGTTACAGAGATAGGATGATGGATTGAGGGCTGAGAGTCCCAGGTGGGCTAAGGGGTTTTCTGGGCTGGTAAGTGAATTGTCTTGGAATTTTTATAACACGGGATGTTTTAAGTAGTGTGAAGAACTTGGACCACCGGCAGACAGAAGGGGGGGAAGAAAAATCTAAATAAAATTAGAATTGTGGATGTGAGACAGCAGAAGCCAGGCACAAAACCCAGATGGATGCCAAAGCCAGAGCAAAAGCCAAGCTGTTATTAGAATTAGGACACAGAAGTGAGCTGGTTGTCTTTCTAAGGTCTGACTCTCTCTTCATACACGGGCTTTGCTCGTAACATTGAAGAAGATCGAGACAGACATCATGCTGAACCATTTTTTTCCAAAAATTGGCATTGAGATTTTGTGGAACATCATGCTGTTTTTAAAAGTGCCAATATTTCAGTGGTATTAAGCAAGCTTGGACTCTGCCTCTTGGCAGGGCTGGAAGGGCTGCTTTCTGTTGGGCATTTACATTGATCAACCGCATTGTTTGTTTTTTTGTGACATGGCAACGTGTGAACGCAGTGGTGACAAACTGTCCTGCACGGGTGGCCCTGAGGGTATAACCACATTACCCCGGGGGAGGACAGGAAAGGGAAACGTGAGTTACTGGGGAGAACAGGGAACAATTGGTGCAGCACACACTGGTGATGCATTGTGCAGGAACTGAGCCACTACCAAAGAAAGTTCACTGGGGACAAAACCAGATATCTGTTATTTCACTACTGGTCTCCCGAGTCAGCCCAACCCTGTTTTTTTGAATTTTTCAGGGGAGGGAACAAGAACAAAAGCAACAAATGCAGGAATGTGTGTGCTCAGCCTACAGCTGACTTGACTGCCAGCCTTCTTGGAGTGTAAACATAGAAACGACAGGAAACAAATATCACATTGCACCTAGATGGGAATATGGATGCATTTCTAACTCCTAAGAATTCTACATGGTAACCTTTTTAGTGCTGAGTGATGACATTTCTCAGAAAAAAAGAGGAGAGCATAGTAGAGTGGAAAGGCGGAAGAGTACACCACGGTCAGGCAATGGCAACAGCTCCTGGAGACTTCTGCAGGGAGTAGGCTATAAAGTCAAATCCCAAGTGGTTTCATGAGACAAGCTCCTCAGTCACTGCTTCAGCCTGAGGTTCCAATCACCCAGCAAGGCCCTGCGCTGCAGAGCCTGGCTGCAGTCACGACACTGGCCCAGCGCAGGGGCTGTCCATGAACTGCCCTGACTGCAGCTTGCTAACGCAGAGCTGGGCAGCCATCGCAAACCTGGTCCCCATCGTGGTTACACGGGTGCATTAAGCCTCTCGTTGGTGTGGACAAAAAGAAGTCCTGTTATCCCATCGGTGAACATCCAGCCTAAAATGCTATTCTCTTTAGGACTATTTCTCCTCACAACAGCAGTAAATTCCTGCCACTCACATGGACACAATGCTCAGCAAACAGTGTGGAAGGAGGAATCTGTAGTGGAAATGGACCCTTAGGGGCCATTTCTTATATATTTTTTTTTTTACAAACCTGCTGAGAATTTGCTCAAGCACAGAGCACAGCTTTTCTGTATGCAGAAACTGTGCCGATGTTGGAACAGCTACTTTTTTCTTGTCTTGAAATCTTACAGAAAGCACGGAAGGCGTTAGAGTCCAGCTATGACTGCCAACCAGCCCCTCAGCATTTTATATTCTGACCACTCATGTCTGAAGTGCCTGTAATTTCCTTGGATAACTTAATCTCTTGGCATAACGTTTCATCACGCAGTGCCATGCACTCTGCGTAACAAAACTGTTCAAGGCAAATAGGGAATAGCACTGCTGTGACAGGTTAGTAAGGACAATTTCGGTTAAATGGTTTCAGTTTGCAGTCACATCTAGTGGTGCCAAATAAAGAACCATGCAGAATGCATGACAAAAACACACCACTCCAAGCCATGCCCGTGGTTTGTTTGCTGCTCTCACCGACCACCCTGCAACGTGCCCTGCTCAGAGCAGACAGAAGGCTCCCCTCACGCTCAACCTGCTTCTGCAGAGCTTGCAGCTGAACTGGTTTTGGCCACGGTACTCCTACACCTCTTCAAAGAGGGAGGAATGCTCACTGGTGTGCTGACGAGCAGATCCCTTACCCCAGCCACCTTCAGTCGTGATGAATGACAAGCAAACATCTCAGGCACGCTCTCGGAATCTTACTGCCTGCTGTGGTATCGTGGTTACTGTAGTGGCTCACACCTGCAGAGTCACAGGAGAAAGCAGATTGTCACTAACGTAAGTAACTTTGCAGCACAACGAAATTTAACATGCGCATCCCCATCTTCCCCAGGTACAGTCCTACATGGACCATCACTGTAACAATTCCACGGACAGGCGTATCCTCAACATGTTCCTGAACATCTGCAGTGATCTAAGCGAGCTCTGCCACAAGCTGGAAACGGCGCATTCTGGTAACGACGTAACCAGCAGCATTTTGGAGAAGTGCAAGCTGCTCCTCAGCCACAGCAATGACCTGAGCGCCATCCGGGCCACGTAGGTGTCTCCATCAGCTCGGTTGCTTTGAGGCGATTGCCCACTTAGCTTCTCTGCCCATTCTGCTCTTCTGGCTTTAGTGAGGGTATGGGGTGCTACCCACTTCACTGTTCCAGCTGCTGGGAAAACACTGCCAGCCTCCATTCACAAAAGGAGTGGTTGGTTGGTCTGTTGGCGCATGGAAGGGCAGGCACAGGCGGGTTAATGCCCTGAAGTCCCACGCGATGACCAGGCAGTTTATCTCCTCCTCCCTCCTATCCCTGCTCTGCATGCAGCTAATTCCTGCAGGTGTCCGTACAAGCTCCTGAACTCTTCCAGATCCAGTTCAACAGCCGGGATGGTGTGGTTGGCAGGACGCATTTCCCAAGATGCAATTCTGTCCATGATTTCTGGGGGTTGGGAAATGGCTGGCTGTGCATTTCTGCTCTCCCCAGGGGGTCTCAGGGTGGCACCGTGGGCTCACCGGGTTTGCACTTACTGGGACCGCTCTGCCCGTTGTCTCCTCCTGTCCCACAGATATCCCCATGACGTTGTGAACCACCTGAGCTGTGATGAAGCAAGGAATCATTATGGAGGTGTGGTGAGCCTCATCCCCGTCGTTCTAGACTGCATGAAGGAGTGGGTAAACCACGCTGAGAAGCTGCCACAGCACGCGCTGCGTAACGTGAGCGGTGGAAGCGCTGTCAGTGAGAAGAGGGCACCTCAGGATGCATCAGCGATGGCAGCCGTTTCCCAAACACCTCCCGCACAGCTTGAGGCTCAGACCCCAGTTAGTAACAAAGATACTGTAGGAGCGCAGGGGAGTAAGCATGTCCTGAAGAAACGCCTAAATGACCTGGAAAACCACAGTGGGAAACGTAAAGGTCCCTGGAAACCACCGGGTAGACATGCCTTATAAAGGATCAAAGTTCATGCATCTTCTGCTTAGCACCTTCAATCAGGTGGCTGATTAAAGGCAGCGAAATGAGTACTAGAGATCCTCCCTGAGTCCACTTTCTGCAGAGTTAGCCCTGTAGGCAGCCTGGGACAGACGCTAACTTCTCTCCCTTGCTGATGCTTGCACTTTCCTTAAAGCCGCTTCCAGCAGGAGCAGCTGCAGCACTACAGCTGGTCCCTTTGACCAGCACTGCAGCGACAGCAGGGAACAGTCGGGAGCAACCAGGTTCTAATCGCTCAGATCTCAGGCAAGCTACTTGAAACGTGATTTTACACTTTCTCCAACTTCTTTCTGAGGAACACCCACACTCGCTCACTCACTGAAGCTGGAGGTGTGAAGAACCTGCATGTCTGAAGGACGTGATGCACAGCAGCAATGGCCTCTCACTGTGGATTCAGACATGTGTTCGAAGTTTAGGCTTGTCCCTGAAGTTCCCTCACCCCCACTGAAATTTGCCTGGTTATTTGGACCAAAGAATCACTGTTTACAGGATGCTGATGACCTCTCCCTTCCATGCCACTGGCTGCAGGAGAGGTCAGCACGCTTTAGCTGCACTGACTGTGCTCTGCCGATCCTTCCTGCAGGTTCTCACGCCTACACACAGCTCAGAACCGCTGACCGTGCTGTCAGAGCTAGAGACGTAAAGCAGAACAAACTTCGCTCTGCACTTAGCCTGGTGCACTGACAATATCCAAACTGGAATAAGCACCCCTGTCTCTGCCTCCCGAGCTCTGCAAAGCTAACAAAGTCATTGCCATTCAACGTGATTCCTGGCAATCTGATGGGAGCAGAGAGAACGAGAAAGCTGTGGCCATCTTCAGATGGTTCCTTTTCAAACTGCAAGTTAAAATGTCCATGCTTTCCCTTTTTTGAGATGAGAATCCAGCTGCTTGCAAGGATGTCAGGCTTAGTTCATTAAAGCTGCAAAGCATTTGCAATAGTCTCATGCTGCTTTTATACCACCACCTCACAATTCCAGCACAGTGGCTTCATAGCAGTGCTGAAAAGAGCTTTCTTTCCAGCCTGCTTAGGAGGCTCAGCAGAGCCACAGGCTCTCCCCAGTCTCTGGAGCTGATACACATTTTGGGTGGTGCTTTTATTCAAGCACCGTTAACTACAAACTCAAGATCTCAATAATGCCGTGTCTTCTCTCTATCTGACTGCTCTTTTCCCCTCCCACAAGCAAATTAGCTCCCGGTTTTTGCTTCCTGCTGGAAGCCACTCCTGAATAAACAATTTCCCCTTGCATACCTGTCTCAGTTTGCTCAAATGGTGAGAAAGCTTTTGGCTTAAGATGCCCAGATTTTGGCAACAAGCAGCCAAAAAGGAAGGGAGAATTAACACAGAGAGCACAGGAAGGAATGATAGCTCTGATGAAATGGGAAGTGTTTGCAGGAGCATTTGTATTCCTCACATAACACCACCACCTTCTGCATTTTCTTCGCTTCCCTCATCCACACGTGCTGCTGTGTAATACATCTCTGCATGCTGGAGGAGACATCACGATCCAACTGAACTGAACCTTGGTGAACCCAAAGTGGTAACGAAGCTTGCCGAGGTCACGCAGAGACCCCTGGGCACCATGGGGGCCACAGCCAGCAGAATGCGACCGTCACCCTCTCAGGCTTGATTTGAGAGCCCTGTTGCCTCTGCTGCTTCAGGCAGAGAAATCAAAGCTGCTCGCAGCTGCCCTGTTGTGTTTCACGTTGCAGAGACAAGTGTCCGATGGCAGTTGCTGCCTTGGAAAGTTTGTCAAAACAAGTACGTGCTACGTGGAGTCAAGGAGGACAAGTGTTGGGGACACAAGGGACACTATTCCCAGATCTTGTTTCCAGCCTTCCTCACCCTGTCGTATAGTTTAAATTTGAACATGCAGGCTCTGGTAAGACTAAACTTATCCTCCAGTTTGTAGTTCCCTTTCAGCTTTCACAGCACAAATCGCTTGCCAGAACAGTCCTAGCCAGCCCTGCCTACAGCTCCCCAGCCCTGCCCTTCAATGCGGTCGCCCACTCATACTTGACCAAGGTTGCGAGACGCAAGACACGCAGTTCCCAAACCTTCATCACCATTTCTAGCCTAGCCCTACCCATTCAATCAGTCCTACGCAGCCAAAACTGTAAGACACAAGAGAAAAGTGGGTGCATAAAGCCTGCAGTCTGAGGTTCGTTACTGACATGACCAGAATCTGTTGGAAGGCTGCAAAGTTAAGTCTCACAAAAACATCTAGACAAATTACTTAATTTCCATACAAGTTCTCCTCTTCCAGAGTGGATGGACACTTCAAAAGACAAAAAGATACAGCAAGAATTGTTTTTCTCTACTACAAACCAAGCTGTTTGAAGAATTTACATAAACAGGATGTAAATGCCAAGCACAGAAGTGCAATAAAGTTTTACTTTAGCCTCTGTGAGCATAAAATTCCAAGAGGCACACTGAGAAACCCGACAGGGCACCGACCCTCCCCAGAGGTCTGTCAGCCGCTCCAGAAAACAGGCGCTGAAAAGTTCAGGGGCTGAAATGGAGACGGGGGCTGGGAGATGTCCTCACCAGAACCCGGGCGGCTGCAGGGTGTGAAGTACCTCTGTGCCCACCTTCATTCGGTCAGACCAGGACGTGACCAGGCTCAAAAATCCTCTGCACGTCGAACACCTGGCTCCAGCGCCTCAGACACCGCGAGGCGGGGTACAGCCCAACCCGAGGGGGTGAGGGGGTGGTGGGCGCTTCAGGGCAGGAGAGGGGCCGGTTCGGTGGGAAAGAGCATCCCAGAAACGTCAGTGCGGCCGATGTGGAGCGAAATGGCGGCCTTCGCGGGG